TATATATATATATATATATATATATATATATATATATATATATATATATACACACACACATACATATACATATACATACAGTGCTTGAAGTGGGCCGGTACATCTATAGTTTAGCCAGCACTTCTATATTTTAGCCTTTAGAGTACCTGCACTTTTTTGTGCGAACCGGCACTTCTGACATGTTGCCAGTACTCAAGAGTAAAAGCGTCAGGGTCTGGGTGATTATATGATCCCATAATATGATTAGAAAGGACACTATATAAATCACACTACCCAGGCGGGATCTTTTCTCATTTCGCAGAGTAGTAGAATAATAATTAATTCTTGATTACTAATTTGAATCAGTACTTTATAACGAAGATAATATCTTAAAATTAAAAGAAGCATGCTTTTGCGTTCACATCATTTTAAATCGGTAAACTCCTGCAAAGTCCAAGGATCCAGTAAACAAATTCAAACAGTAAGTTCAAAACAGCCTAATGCAGAGAAAGCAAGCCGATTTTATCCGCAATTGCGGAAAGAATAGTCAGTAAAATTATTATTTTCAGCGTGTATTTTGCTTAAATGCAAGAGTGTTTTATAATGAACGCTTATTATGCGGCGGTCAGAGATTTAGCGATTCTGAATGGATCCGTATAGTAGGCAGGCAATTTAGTGGTCTTTGGCGACTCCCTGTGGTCCTGTTTGGTATCGCAGCTTGACTTGTGCTAATTTGTACTGAAAACTTTTATTCAATTATTGATTGATTGATTGTGGCATTATAACCGGCACTTCTTTTTTTACACTTCAAGCACTGTGTGTGTGTGTATATATATATATATATATCTCATTAGATTTGGTGGTGCATTGCAAAATCTGCATGGAATGACAATTCCAGCCAAGAGGAAAGTAACTACTCTTATTCGAGTCCAGACTTTTGAGTTTTCATTGTTCCTCTGTTTGGGCATGGGGCATTGGATATTATTTGTTTATTCCTCTTTAATAAAACTGGGCTGCGTCTCAAGTAAAAGTTTGTTTGAGCTGTTCAGCTGCTGTTGTTTATGGAGCTCTTCAGAGTTGGAGATGATTTGGCTGTGCCTGTGTGAGGGATATCTACCACAATGGTTAAACTCATGAATTTACAGTAAGAATAAAAAATATTCTCAAATCTCAGATTTGTCTGTATTTGTGTATGCTTGCCCAATAGAAACTCCCACCGGATTTGAACCTTCTGGAGCTTGAGGAGTACAGAGATAAGCTGAAGAGACAACAAGCAGCCGTAAGTACTACATGCAGAGAAGTCTTTAAAAGATACATTACCTCACTCTCTCAAAGGCTGTTTGCAGCCTCCATTTGTGACACAAATGACATTACAAGCTGCTTTTGCATCATAACTGATACCGTTTTGTCTATGAGTCATGGATTGATAAAATACTTGACTTTGTGACTTGATACGATGATTTGAATTCAGTTCAGTTTAGTTTCCTCTCATAAAAGCTAATCGTTAGTATATATTCTGACATTTTTACTAATGAAGAAGCACAACTGTATCTTTAGCTTTTTTATATTGCTATTTTATGTGATACATACTCTTTCAAAACAAATTTTATTTATCTCAGAACTCATTAATCAGACTAAAATCAATACATAACACTTTTTTTTAATGGAACCCTTTAACATGAATTCAAACAATGAAAAAATAATGAAATGAAATGAAATATAAATTAAGAACTGGCCAACTTGCCATGTGCATGTCTGAACAGCCTTTTTCCCCACTGAGCTTTGGAAAAACTCTCATTTGATTATTTTTATTTTTATTTTTTTGCAAGTTAGACCAAGCGCTTACCCTTTTAGAAAAAAATAGAAAAAGAAATAAATGCATTTACATTTCTTAAAAATGTTATGCTAGATGAAAGTGTTTAGAGATTTTTCAGGCACTTGGCAAATTTAAATAAAAATAAAAAAGTGCAACAATATTCAAATGTCATATTTCTTTTTAAGTTTTTTTTTTTAAAACTCATTTTGACTTCTTTCCGAGCTTTTATCTCATCCTGCTGCAAACGTCACCGTTTTATTTGTTATGTGTTTTTACCACTTCCCAATGGATGGTGTAGTGTGCTTGTGAACGCGTGAGTACATTCCGTCTTGATCCGGGGTGATTCACAGTTCACTGCTGGCTACAGCCTTAGAAAAAAAATTGGAAAGATGAATGTCATTCTCTGTCTTTGTTGTTTCTTGCTTAAGATGCTTGCTTACGCACAGCTGTCTTATCGGCTTTAGGGTGAAAGATATGTTCCTCGGGATCCTTGGGGGTACCCAATGAATCAGTCTGACGCTATCTGTCTGCCTGCCATGGGTTGACCGTTTGCTGGCAGCGCAGCGGCCCTGTCCCCGAATGCTGATCCCGGGTCATGACAGACAGCTGCAGGCATCACAGGAGGAGCTGTGTGAGGCAAACTTCCTGCTGAATGCCATTAATTCTCACTAAGCACGCTCACATAGTGTGGTATTTTATTCATGATTTATGCAAGCTCCTCCAGTGTCATTCAAGAGAACGTGGCCATATTGACAGTAATGATGCGTTTTCTCTCTCAGCCCATCTGAAATAATTTTGGAGATGGCTCTCTCTGGAATGCCCATATGCACAGTCTCTGAATGTGTCATTGGCAGATGAAGGTTATTGTGGATTCGATGGGTCAGTGGGAGAGAAATCCATCTGGTCTATTGGAGGTGGCAGCCTATTCTTCTGCAAACACGCAGCTCTGACACTTCTTTGGCAGGAACTCATCACTGAGCTAATTACTTGTCTGCGGTGCAAGTGTGTTTCAGAATAAGCCCGTTCTTTATCTTTTTTTGGAGGGCAGGATGAAGTTTTCTGTTTGATTACCTTTTACACATTATCAATTAATAAAGACTTATTTTTGTGCAGTTCTTTGCACAATACTGTTATTACCTCAAAACACTTTGCCTTAGTGCATGATTTGAAAACTATACATTTTGACATTTGCCTCACAGAACCAGCTCCATATGTATGGCTTTCATGTAGTAAACTTGCTTGGTAGCTCACCTAGTAAAGTGTTACACTATGGATGATGAGTTTTTTTAAATTCTTTCAAAGATTACTGGAGTTCATTTTACAAGAATATACTATTTTGGCCTTTCTACTTAAAAATTTCTTTGTAATTATTTCCAAAATGTACAAGCAATTATGTTACGTTGTCTCAATGTAAAACCTACATCAAATTTTCTTTTTTCAGTGTAGAAGCAAACTAAAATGACATTCCTTCAACAAATGCACTGTTATTTCACGTTTGCTTTTGTTAATATTATCGGTTAGGTTTAGGGTAGGGAAGTGCATCTCAATAACTGAGGACGATGTGATATGCATCTTGATGCATAGCCAACGATACAATAAATTAAAGATACATATGAAGCAGCTACCGTTGCGATGCAACATGATATGATTTACCCCTATTACGATGCAGTGCGATCCGATTTCGAACGCGCTATAAATAAACAAACGACTTTTTAAAATCGATGCATCGCATTGTAAATTTTATGCCGATGCACCGATGCGAATCAGTGGATCTTACCATCCCTAGATTAGGGTAGCATTTAATGTAGGTAGTGCGTTATTTTCAAACGTGATTATTAACTTTAAGAGCATTAATCTTTTAGCGTCTGACATTTCAGAACTGACGCAATACATACAACAATCAGTGTGTGAGTGTATGGTCTCTATAGCACAGCTCATCCAGGCCTCGTCCCCTTTTTTTGCGTATTCCTTGGGTGGTAATTATTGAAATGAGTGACATTGTGACTTCACAATATCTGGAAGAAGTGCACTGTAGTCCGAACAAGCCGTTTGTCATAGGTCATGAACAGTGTTTTCTGTTAAAGAGAACATCTCCTTTTTTGAGTAAACTTTGAACTTTATAACCTTGCAGATGTTTTATGCTTGAAAAGCAACATTACACACTAACTAAACTAAAGTGTTATGGGTTGAACTAAAGTGAAAAGGCGTTATAGGACTCCTTTTATTATATATTTTATTTTAGTTAACATTTACTTTATTTCAAGTAACAATTTTTTAATGGTTTGTTTATTTTAGTGAACAATAATAACCCTGATCTGATTCTTTCTTCTGTGGAAACAAAATATATTTTCAAAAATGTTCATTTTTGTTCATCCTTCAGGCTATTTTCTTTTATGAATATCATACAGGTTTAGAACATGAGGGTGAGTAAATGATGACTTAATTGTCATTTTTGGGGAACTATTTCTTTAAGAGCCAAGAGCTGATGCATATGTAAGAGCAAGTTGAGGTGCTCTTGAAAATGTTTCTTTCAGTTGTCTTTATCACACATACACACACACTACCCAGATCTCTCCTGCCAGTTGGTCTCAGCTTTTGCACATTGAGATCTGCTAACATACGCTGCTGCTCAGCTGAGTCTGCCATCTGTTCAGATCTCACCGACACTCCAACCCTTCACAGCCGTCCCTCCCTCTCGTTCCTGACAGCCCCACCATGTGACGCACATATCGATCGAAGCGTGCCACAGTATGCCTTATATTTATGGCTTGACCTTCCGTGGAGCCATTATTACCCGCTGAATGTTTGAGTGCCCCAAGAAAACATTTATTATATTGTTACAGAGTCATTGTTGCAGGTGTGGAAGACATGAAAAGCCTAAAATAGACTTCAATTCAATTAAAGGTCTCAAATGTTATGTTGTTGTTTTTGTACTACTTTTAAAGCCTCAGCTAATGCCGCAAATGATTAAAAAGAGGTGTTAAATGCACAAAGAGATTATGTAGTCTTGTAAAGCTTGGACCGGTTGAACAGATGTTAACCTTTAGCTTGTGTTCTCATCTTACAGGTATCTAAAAGAGTGGCAGACCTGATTTTGGAGAAACAGCCTTCATATGTGAAGGTAAGCAGTCTGTCACATCTGGGAAAATTGGGTCTGCAGGATAAATTCAGTCAACATATGACTGCCAGCTTGTTCCTTTTTCATCAAGGTCAGGGAAACAATATGAGATTCACAGGATTTATGATATGTTTTTGCCCTCCCACAAATTAAAGCCTTAAAAGATCCTAAATCGGAGCAGAAAGTCTTATATTCATAAAGTCATGGCATTAAATGTTGCATGCACTGCAAAAAATGTATATCTTCCTCATAAGTTCTGTCTTGTTTTCCAGTACAAAAATCTAAACATTGTTAAATGAAGATGCAAAACAAACTTATGAAGTCTTGTTTTCTGAGAATTTGAACAAAATTAAGTGAGTTTGTTTAAAACCAGAACAAATATCTGTCAGTGGAGTATACACACATTTTTTCCTTTTGAGTGAAGGCCATTTTGATCTTTGATCCTCCTTACTCTATGGATTGTGAGCAGAGCTATTTAAACTTTAAAGCAATTTTTGGGAAAAGATGAACTAAAAAGTAATGAAAAGAACTGTTGGAAGTTGTATTTTTAAACTTTAAAGTGTTGTAAATACAGCGCAATGTCTGCTCCCTAGCCATTTACATAGAACATATTGATGTATTGTTACCTTTAATTTATTCCTTAAATTTTCTTTACTTGGTTTTAAAAAGGTCTTAAGTCTTAAATTGACCTGATCTGCAGAAACCCTGATAAAACGACTGAAAATTGATTATTTAAACTGCTTTACAGCTCAAGTAATACGCAAGTTTTAACTGAAGAATTAATGTAAGTGCTTTTGCATCATAACCTTCACATCTGTTTGATGACAACTGTAACCCCATCCTCGTTACCTTGGTGATTAAACCGTTAAACTCTCTAAATATGTATTTGGTAAAATGAGATTTGTGCAGTGTGTTTTGCAGATGAGGCTGAAGATACTGTCATTTTTATCTCAAATGAATATTTCCATGCAATTTGGGATCAAAGTGGAAGTAGAAGACTTCCAATGCTCTGTGTCCTCTTGCCTCTGGTCTTATTTCTCTCACATCCTTAAAAATCACTGTGAATCCCTTTGAAAGTGGATCACTTTGGATCACTTTGAAATTTCTCTTATTTTAGTATAATATATATTTACATTTACATGTAAATATTTCTTAAATAAATGTATGTGTGTGTATTTATAAATAAACACAGTACACACTCTATATGTACACTCTTTATATTATGTAAACACGTTTATTTTGGAATCAATTAATTGCGATTAATCGATTTGACAGCACTAATAGTAATGCATCACAGCTATGGAACACCCGGGGTCAGTACGATTTTTTCAGAAAAAATCTCTTATGTTCACCAAGGCTGCATTTTTTTTATCAATAACCTATAAACCAATATTCTGAAATATTATTACAATTTAAAATTGTTATATATTATTTATTAATATTATATAAGATTATAATATTTTTCCTGTGATGGCAAGCTGAATTTTCAGCAGCCATTGCTCCAGTCTTCAATGTCACATGATCTTTCAGAAATCATTCTAATATTCTGCATTTATCCCTGCTGAATAAAAGTATTAATAAAAAAAAATCTTGCTGACCACCTTTAAACGGTAGTTTATTTTTATGGCTAAAGGTAAAAAAATAAGTTTTGGTGTTGTCTCACACGATAAAGATGATTCATTGTCTGAAATATATTCAAATATGAAGTGTGTATTTTTTGGTAATGATAAAGTAATGATTAAAAAATAGCTGAATTAGATTATTTTATTATACTTATTTGTGGCATATTTACTAGGGTTGGGTACCGTTCACATTTTAACCGGTACGGTACTGGTACCTGAATTTCGGTGCCAGTAAATAACAGTACTTTTTTTCAGTACTTTACTCTCTGTGTAATTACAAAAACATTTATTTCAGTGAAAACAATAAGTCCAAAAGTCTAAATTTCAACATTTTGAACAATAGGGCCCTACAAACTTTTTCTTTCTTTTTTTCTCCCCCCCCTTTAAAATCAGTTTAAGGCATTAAACATTTATTTTAAATCAAATGAAAATTAAACCCTTTTATTTTTTGGCAAACAAACTGAGGTTTACTGTTGAAATTAATACATGGAAGAAAAATTGTGTGAATATTCCTTTAAAACATTTTTGTTAATAGGCTAATAATTGTATTATTTTTTTCTACATTTAAGTGATTAATCTGGTTGTAATATTTATTTTTATCATTTAATTGTGTTATTTAAATTTGAGAGAAAATGGAATATTTGAAGATTTTTATTTTATTTGATTATATTTCATTATACTTTACAAAAGTAATACAAGAGTAATATATTTCTTTTACATGTTAAACCGTACTTTTATTTTGACAGGTTGCCATGAAGTTTCTGTGTGTATACAGTATGATGATGCTAGTTTTCTCAAATTACAGAGGCAAGCGGAACATGCAGGATTCAGATTTAAACCATCTTTTTGCATTTTAATGTTCACAGACAGTAGTTCATATCGCGATTCGAATTAAGTGGCAGTGGCTACTTTTGATTTATTTGTCCAAAATTGACGAATTCCGTGGCATTCCGCGCTATAGAGTAAATTACGTTTTTATGAATGGACTCAGCGATCCCGTGCACGTTTTCACAGAAACCATATGGCCCTAGAAATGTAACCACACTTCAGAACATTTCGGCTTGCCCTGTGTGTTGTTTGAACGAGTTGCAGGGGTGACCTCACGTCACAGGGTCTCTCTTTCTCTCTCTCTGTAGCGTATGCGCCCAGATGCGTTCTCAGGTATTGAAATTTGGCACCGATTGATTTAACGTGAATCAGTACTCTGTAGTACCGACGCAATTCGGTCGGTACCCAACCCTAATATTTACTGACATTTTACTAAGAAAGAAATCAGTTTATTACCTATTGAATATCGGTAGAGTTTGGTACTGATACAAACCCTTAATTTAATCACTAATAAAGTCAGTATTGATGCTAAGATCAAAATTGCTAAATATATATTATTGCAGAATAATGGTTAAATAATAAAACTTACTGATATATTGCTCTATCACTAATAAACTCTTTATCATGAATTGGCTAGTTTGTCCAAACAATGGGAGATATACAGTTATACTGTAGACAGTTTCATTTGGTGATGCAGGTGGCTTAGAAACTACATGCTTGACCTATCGCATGTCTTCATCCAAAAATGGAATGAAGATATTAATCTTCTGACCTTAATCTCAGTCTTTGTGTTGGACAGCGGAACAGAAAACATTTAGAGATTACTGCTACAGTCATGTCACAGCAAATTGCCCTTGAGTCATTTTAAGCCAACTCAAAAAGCATTAGATATTCTTCTTGCATTAGTCATTGAGTAGGACAATAACATTTCTCAGATGTTTTTATACAACGTTTTTATAATATACAACCTTTTATAAATGTTTGTTTACTTGTAAGTAAAGTGTGTGTACTTTATTTTATCCTTAACTTGAAGCACTTTGAGCAACAAAGTTGCATTTAAATGTGCTATATAAATAAATGAAGTTGAAGTTGAACGTTGAGAATGCACGTTGAATAAAATACATTCACATCACTGAACTAATTCCTTTTAGCTGAAGTTTTGAATGTCTAATTTTAGACCAGCCTTGTAACCCTAACAAGAGAACGCTTCTGAAAACCCAGTCATACAGTGGGTACGGAAAGTATTCAGACCCCCTTAAATTTTTCACTCTGTTATATTGCAGCCATTTGCTAAAATCATTTAAGTAAATTTGTTTTCCTCATTAATGTACACACAGCACCCCATATTGACAGAAAAACAGAATTGTTGACTTTTTGCAGATTTATTAAAAAAGAAAAACTGAAATATCACATGGTCCTAAGTATTCAGACCCTTTGCTCAGTATTTAGTAGAAGCACCCTTTTGATCTAATACAGCCATGAGTCTTTTTGGGAAAGAGGCAACATCAAAAGCTAAGAGTCAATGAGTCACCAAAGCACATATGAATAAAAAGCATTATTTTTAAACCCTTGCTGTTTTAAACAACGGACATTAACTCTTAAGAAGTGTTCGCCAAAAGGATGTAGTGAAAAATATGCTTATTTGTGTTCCTCCATTTGAAGAGCTTTTAAGTCTGCTGCTTTGCTACAAGCCATTTTACACCTCAGCAGCCTGCATTTGTCCCAGGTCTTTCAGAAATAAGATGGCATTTCAGCCATGCTTTTGAGCTGTTTTATAGGCCGCCCATGCTTTTAGATATATTGTGATACATTTTCTTGTGCCTATCACACAGATAGTCAATGAGAGGTAGGTATATCACATCACTTGGACTCTTTTCCAGAACTTTGCTGCGTACAGCATACATAGGCAGCTTATGTTACCTTCTAAGGCATTGTCCTGACTGAAATGAAACCTAGGCCTTAACTAAGGGTAGATGCCTTATTTAATTTTATGTGGATGAAAATGAGGCTATGAAGGATAGACCTGAGGCGCGTTCACACCAAGAATGATAAAATAACCACCATAACTATATTAGCATAGAAACCAACATTCTGTTTATTGTAATTTTTTCTTTAAATGTTTGAGCTCTTTAAAGTCAGGTGGATTCTGATTGGCTTTTAATGTTTTTTTTTTTTAATCATTTATCACCTGGAAAAAAAACATTCTGGAAGGGATTCCAGCAAAATTGTTCCTCTGTCTGTTGATGTTATAGCTGTGGTTTGGACTTCTCTATTCTCATAAAATTAGAGCAGTTATTAAAAATGTAAAGTTAGAGTTATCATTATAAAGATTATCCTTTTTTTGAAAAGCCCTTTACAGTCTTTACAATGGCATGTGCTAGGTCCTAGATCACGTCATTTTTAAAACTCGCACTTTTCAAAACTTTTTTTGTCAAGTTTGTGTTTTCTGAAAGGTTATTTGAGAAGATGTTTAGTCAGCTGAACAATTGGCATGTTGTTGAAGAACAGTACAATCCAGTGAACACACTGAACTTCCCTCACAGCCTCGTTTTCATTCCTGTCAAAAACATGGTGCTACCCTGACTAAAAGTATGTTCACGTTAGTGAATTTTCATTAGCAAAAAGGCCAAATGTTTATTAATAGTGAAGCCATGAATGAAGCACAGCTCGTGCTGAATTTTCCATCATTAATAAGATAACGCTTCCGCACTGAAGGAATTTTCCGGCTTTCCGTGTTTTCACTGGTGTACGGTACACATCTTCTGAAAGAGTATTGAATGTCTGGATCAAAAGCTAAGGAGCAGCAGAAACAAGCGATTACATATGTAAGCAAATGCATATGTAAAAACGCGTTCATCAAGCATTAAACGGCATATAAATCAAAACTGCCTGATGTTACTGAATGAAATGACGATCCAGAAAGTGGTATAGGACCGTGCAAGCTCTGAATATGTTGATGGAAGCGATCTATTCTAGCTGTGTTTTGATCATCGTTCTCAATCTGATCCTGAATCTGATTTTCTCAGCTTTTGTTCAAAATGTTGCTTTTTTTAATGAAACTTACACTCATTCAAGTGTTGATAAAATAAGATTGCATGAAGCTAGAATAAAATTTATTATTATTTTTTTTGCGGAAGCTCTGTTCTTTGTTTTGACATATTGCATGTTCAGATAATCATACAACAAAATATTCTGGGTGCCATTACACTTTTGTGAAAATGATCAAAAAATGCTGCTGGTGGGGAAAGTTTTCAGGGCATGAATTACTTTCAGAATTGCAGTGATTGACATTGGCAGTTATATGTCTTGGTCAGGGGTATGTTTAGAGTTTTGGTTCCCAACGACTCGTGCACTATGCTCCAAGGCTTCTGAAGTCACATGTTAGCTTTGTGTGAGAAACAGACATGCAAGAGATTTACATCAGTCATTTGACTTTTATCAGCGAGTTGAACTTGTGAGCTAGATCAATCGGAAACAAATCCTTCAGACAAGAATGAAATTTTATAATTTCTTCATGAATTTAACATCTTCACTTCCCTCATGAACTTTCAAGAATGACAAATGCATGCTCGCAGTGTATGGAAATTGAGAGAAAATTAAGCACAAAGGAAGTGTCCCACAGCAGGACAATGCAGTATTTATGCTAAATGTATTTAATGCTTCTAGAACTCATTAGTAACATTTTTATGTTGTAATATACTATAATAATGTGTATGATATACTATAATACAATCAGTTCTGATTGACAGTTATAACTGATTTCTGATTGACAGAAATATGAAGAACGAAAGCGTTTACTGCTGCCACAGTTTGCTATGGGAGAATACTGTACTGCAGAGATAATGTTGAGGTTTTCTGTGAATAACAGCTTACATTTCTCTTATTTCTCTTATCTTGTGACTTCAGAAGAATTCGAATATGGCACACAAGTTGTATGGACTACTTATGGTAATATGCTAATGTTTTTGTCCTTTTGATGCTTCAATCCCCACACATTGTAATTCTTTGAAAAAGAACATGGAAAACAGTTCTTTTGTTTTTGTATTCTTTGAAAGGAAAAGTCAAACAGGTTTAGAACACCATGCAGAAACTAGTAAATGTTTTAATTCTTAGGCCAACTATTGCGTAAAGTTTCGGTGAGCAGTAGAATAGGCACAAATGCTTTAATTCTGCTTTCAGGCAGCTTCGTTCTGCTAAAGAAGGCTTCACTGAAGCCAGTCTTGGGCTGTTAGCCAATCAGAGACGACGACAGCTGTTGACAGGATTGTTGAAGTCTTTGAGGACCATAAAGACTCTGGTAATCACTTCATCAACATTGTTAATGGCTAAACAGAGAGTTTCTGTCCTCTGTGCATGTTAATTTCCTTCTGCCCAGTTTCACAGACACTCTGTCCTTCTTCTCTTTGCTTTTTTTTGCAGCAAAGAACTGATGTTCGACTGAGTGAAATGCTGGAGGTAAGTTGGCACAGAAATCTGTCCAAATGTGCAGTACACAAATACACCTCATATTTAAAAGATAACCAAAAGAGAACTTGTAAACAACTGAACATGTATTAGCTGGACGAAGATGCTTTGGACTGAGATTGTCTCTCACACTCACTAATTGTGGTGTTTAGTCTGTTTGTGTCTTCTAAATATGTGATCCTGGACCACAAAACCAGTCTTAAGTCACTGGGGTATATTTGTAGCAATAGCCAAAAATACATTGTATGGGTCAAAATTATCGATTTTGTAAAGATCATGTTCCATGAAGATATGTTGTAAATTTCCTACCGTAAATATATCAAAACTTAATTTTTGATTAGTAATATGCATTGCTAAGAACTTAATTTGGACAACTTTAAAAGCGATTTTCTCAATATTTAGATTTTTTTTGCACCCTCAGATTCCAGATTTTCAAATAGTTGTATCTCGGCCAAATATTGTACTAACAAACCATACATCAATGGAAAGCTTATTTATTCAGCTTTCAGATGATGTATACATCTCAGTTTTGAAAAATTGACCCTTATAACTGGTTTTGTGGTCCAGGGTCACATGTAAATTTCATATGTAATATGAGCTTGTTCTGTCATCATGAGGGTAATGATAAATCTAACGTACTCACTAAACTGTTAGCTTAGTTGTTCTAGTTTAGCCCTGTAAAAATGTCGACAGATATTCAGGTAAAATGGAGTGTTTCATTTTACAGGAAGAGGACTATCCAGGCGCCATCCAGCTGTGTTTAGAATGCCAGAAGGCTGCCAGCACTTTCAAACACTACAACTGTATAAGGTGGGTGGAAAACCGCCGACTGGATTGGTGAGCGATCCAGATCCTGAAGTTCACTATATGATGATAAATATGATGGAATTTATTTGAATTTCTGAACTGCATTTTTAAATAGTTTTAGTACTCTTTGCACAAACGGATTACATTTGTAACATAGCCATTCATTTAAAACAGTCTCTGTAGGGTTGAATACAGTCCATATCCATACAGGATCATTTTTTGCTGACAGCCATTCAGGTGTTGCTTGCAAAAAAGTCTTCAAAAACAGGTTTATTAATGCTTTGTCCTATATGTTTTTGAAAACATGCCATATTCCCCAAACAATTTTTTTTATAATCCTTGTAATATCTATCCAGTGTGTTATGAAACAACAATGAACTTTCCATGAGATTTGTGCAAATTCTGACAATATAAAAGAGTCAACATTGTGAATGATACTGTAAAAATTGTGAAGCATGTACTTACTGCTCTAATGTATACAGTAATGCCGTTTTCTGTTACTGTTGTACTGCATAGCCTACAGATTTAGCCGTCGGAATTTTTTTTTGTTCATGTTCAATATACTATAACTGAATTTATACTACAGTATAGTCGACCTTTTCAGATTTGCTGAGTTGCATTTAATTTGACAGCCACTGCCAAGGTAAGGCCACTGCTTATCACATGGCATACTGTATAATGATGTCTCAGAGTTTATTTGATTCCCCAAACAATTTTTTTTATAATCCTTGTAATATCTATCCAGTGTGTTATGAAACAACAATGAACTTTCCATGAGATTTTGTGCAAATTCTGACAATATAAAAGAGTCAACATTGTGAATGATACTGTAAAAATTGTGAAGCATGTACTTACTGCTCTAATGTATACAGTAATGCCGTTTTCTGTTACTGTTGTACTGCATAGCCTACAGATTTAGCCGTCGGAATTTTTTTTTTTCATGTTCAATATACTATAACTGAATTTATACTACAGTATAGTCGACCTTTTCAGATTTGCTGAGTTGCATTTAATTTGACAGCCACTGCCAAGGTAAGGCCACTGCTTATCACATGGCATACTGTATAATGATGTCTCAGAGTTTATTTGAAACAGCAGTTCCCTGCTCTCTGGCTACCTCCCTCTGATGCCCACTGCTTTGATGGGTCACATGATTCTATCTTTGACAGGGCGCATGCCCACCTCTTTGGTGTCTCTAATGGGCCTCTTGAATGGGCATTATAAAGACATTACTTAAATTACGTTAAATGAAGAGTATGTATAGATGTAAGATCTAAAAGACTTTTGTAGTCAGTTAGAAACAACAATTGTTGAAAAATCACTTGCTTGTGAAAATAGTACCAAAGCATTAATAAACTGTTTATTATGATTTTTTTGCAAGCCACATCTGAATGGCTGTCAATAGAGAAATGTACTTTTACAGCAAATTGTAACACCCACACTTACACTCTTTGAGTTTTTTCTTTCCTCTGACAAAGTCTTTAGAACAAATAATTGTATGTTCTAAAAATAGCAATATAAATTAGTAGTCATGCTTTCTCCTAATGACTTTGCATCGCTTTTATTACACAAGATATTCTCATTGTGGCGTAAAACGGTCTGCAATCTGTATTGAAGGATAGTGTTCTTAAGCTGTGAAGTTTCATCAGCGAGTATGATGGTGAGGAACAAATGCACCTCTTTGCTGTCTAGTGATTGATATGTCACGACCCACACTAATGGAATGTCTTTATCTCATTAGGATGTGGCTTAACAGACAGAGAGGATGCAGGCAGTGTCACTCATGTAAAGGATACTAGCAATTGTTCACCAGTTTTTAGCTCTCCCTCTCTTTTTGGGACTGTGCATTGCTGCTCTGTTTAAGCTGGCACAGGAAGGTTTTGCTATCTGATCAGCCTCCAGTCTGCTCTGCACACATTGATATCCATGCAAGTGCATGGAAACCTGCCCAGTGTGATTTCCTTCTGTTTAAAAGCTCTCTCTTTGAAGGGAGAATGGAATGAAAATTCATTTTTCAAATTGTCTGACCAGCTAATGAGGTACAGAGATCAGTTTGGATAGTATAGTCCTCTTGGTAGATGCTATAACTACATACCTGGCTGTAAAAATAAAAAATTTTTTTTTTGAAAAATTATCTTTTTTTCATTAGTAGCCGTGTATTCTGACATTATTTTATTTATTTGTATTTTTCCCACAATGCTATATGGAGGGGAAAAATGGAGGTGATATTTTACTAGCTAATGATATTTTAGCTTTACTCTTGCATTGTAGCATTTCCTAATAAAGTTAATAAAGGAGAATAGCTCCATTTTATTGACTCGCAAAATGTTTACTTCCATTTAGCCATTGGCAAGTGTTATTTTTGGACCCTGCCCTTGTTTGTGCATTTCAGTTTTTGGATCCAGAAAGCTGCACAGCCACACAAGCCTGCACTGAAAGAGTTGTAATTTAAAAAAAGGAACCGGTCCCATTTTCCCTCTCGAATCTTAGACTCTGGCCCCTTACATTTATTAGGGGTGAGATTGGATAGACAGACAGACAGACAGACTACACTCCATAAGGCACTGTCATTTCTGCAGCAGGAACATTTGGGAAGCCAGGCTGTCTTGATAAAAGCATAGCTGTGATATATGTGAGCCAGAGACAATATAGAGCTGATTGCCCACTTGCTCTCCCTCCTCATTTACTTGTTTATTTAATGATGCATAATGTGCTCTCATGTTTGTGCGTTACTCTGATACCCAGTGAATACCAAAGGCTTTTTCGGCTTGGCGTACTGGGGTTTTAACACTCTGGCAGTGATGTATTTTTCAGAATGTATCAGCCATGTGTTTTGTCATGTTGTTTTTCCACCTTGCCTTATGTTTTTTTTTTTTTTGGCAATTAGTCTCCAACAAGCAGTGAGGTAGGTGAAAACGGCTGTCTGCGGGAAGTGTGACGTCAGCCTCTGCATTACTCACAAGTCAGGTTGAAAGTTTCTTGAAATTTAGACAGAAGTGTGAGAATGAAGGGCTGTAATTTCCCCCCTAATTTACAAACATCTGCTTAGCATCATGAGCTGTGATGCAGATAGAATTTATAGATTCAGCACTAGTTTTAGATCATTTAAGACAGGGGTCTCCAACCTTTATTACACCACGGACCGGTTACGTTTGGAAAATATTCTCGCGGACTGGCCGGGGGGGGGGGGGGG